GTGACTTTATTTATGACATGGCCTCCAGCAAGCATAAAGGTTACTTTATGACTGCAGTAGTTGCGTAACAACCACTGCAAAAGATCGTATAAAAGATCCAGTCACCTGCTTTACTGCCATCATGACTTACAACTACAATGGATAGGCTCCATTTCTGACATTGAGTCAAGAACTATCAGTAATTCTTGCCTTGAAGGAGGCAGTAGGTTCTCTGACTGTCATCAAGAACAACTTTTATCAAGTCTCCAACCTTCCCTTTTTAGGGATGGTTATTTTGAGAAAGGTAGGTGCTCCCCTTAAAAAGGTATTGGAGGAAGCAGGTTACCTCAACCATTTTTAGTTGGGTTTCAGGCTGGGTTATGAGACAGCATTGTTTTCACTTATGGATGATCGTTTGAGGGCTCAGGATGGGGATGCTGCATCTATTCTGGCCTTCTTGGATCACTTGGAAGCTTTCAGTAATATTGACTATGGTATTCTGAACAAACTTAGTGGGTTGGGACTGCAAACACTCTTTTACAATGATTTTTCTCCTTTCTCTGTGGTCAGTTTCAGTCAGTGTCGATGAAGTGGGAGAGGTACAAGTCAGTCCTTATATATAGTGCCTCAGGGCTCAATATTCTCATCCCTCCTGTTTAATATCTACTTGAAGCTAGATCCCTCCTATTTAACATCTACATGAAACTCAGTTGTGCATCTCCACCTCAGTCCAAACAAATTATTCAGGTGCCTACTCAGTGCCTTAAGGCTGGGAAAGTCTGGGTGTAAAGGAGTCAACTATGATTCAACACTAGCAAGGTAGGGTTGCTCTGAGTTTTCCCCTGGAACTGGAGAATTGCAATATTTAACTCTTGATGGAGTAGCCTTCCCCCGGGAAGAGTTGGTGTGAAATTTGAGGGTCGTCTTGGACTGATGGCTCCTGTTCAAAGATGAAGTGTCAGCTGTGGCTAGGATGGTTTTGTGTATATTCATCTTGTCTGCCAGTTGTACTCATAAGTGGACTGGGAGGCTCTGCACATGGTCACTTAATGCCTTAGTCAGTTACCAATTGGACTACTGCAATGCTCTCTACATTTAGCTGCCCTTGAAGATTATTCAAAACTTTCAACTGGTTGAGAATGAAATGGCTAACAGAGTTCAGGGCATCGTGCAGTTTGTCCATATTACACTGGTGATTTGCAAACTGCTGTAGCTCCCCATTTTCTTCCAGGTGTAATTCAAGGTATTGGTTATCACCTTTGAAGACTTATAAAGTATGGGCCCAGTTTACTTACAGTACTGTCTCTCACTGAGGGTGTCATCAAATTCCTGTCATCAAATATAGGGTGAGCACCCTCTCTGTTACATGATGTCATCTGGCAGGAGCTTGGAGGCTGGACTTCTCTGTAGCAGCTGCTGCCCTATGAAACAGCCTCCCTGACATCTAGAAGTCCCCTATTGTCTTAGACTTCTGGAATGCTGAAGACCATTAAGACCTGGCTCTTCACCCAGGCATTGGGCTAGGATGGGAACTGAGTCCAGTTCATATATATTTGGGGTAAGAGTGTTCTGGTGACTTAGTTGTGCATGATGCTTTTAATTTTGTTATTTTTTGTTACTTTTATATGTTGCGAGCTGCCCAGAGTTATTCTATATCTTGAGCTAGTGTCTGGCATAATTACAATCTATCCTATGTTGTGCCACAAAGCCCCACTCTACCTGCATTTCCATTTTTGTTCACCTTACTGAATAAATTCTATCATAGAAGACATAAAATCTTAATAATGTAGGGTCAGAAATAGTTCAATTCTGAGTTAACAGGCTCAATGTTATAAAATTTAGCAAGATGCCCTGTATAACAGTGTTGTTCAAAAATTCTTTTATACCAAAGGATTTCCATGGTGATATGTGCTGTTTTATAAACTTATATAAGACTTGCATTTCCAAGAATACAAAAAATTAAGATTATAGTGGAGAATATTTATAATTTATTCTCACATGTTTTTTGTTTTCTAGGCAAATACAATCACATGTTTTTTTTAAAAAAAATCTTTTTCAGGTAGATAAGTCAATTTTTTAATTGCATTTTTTCACAATACCTAAATTTTTTGCAGTCTGTATTTACTTGAAGGTTTTTAACAGTAAAGAAATATAACTATTAGCTTCCTAGCTATTAGAGAAAAGTGAGAAATACTAGAATTTATTGCAATGTGGAATACTTGATTGGCAATATTGGTTATATAGGATGGTAGGCACTGAAAAAAAATAAAAGCTTTGGATGTGTTTAGCATATTGATGAATTCCACTCTAATAAATCATCTACACAGAGTTCATTCATGTGTAAATTTGAATGAAATCTAACCCTTAATTTATTACACATGACTAATCATGTTCTGATACAGAACAAACATCATTTATCAGTACCTCATATTTCCATACTTTTGTTCTGGTGATCTTCTCTACAGTCTACTAGATAAAGTTGTTTTAAAGGTCAGTGAATTTCTTAGTGTAACTTGATTCAGGTATCTGCAACATCAGCCCCATCTTTTACAACTGCTTATTCACTGAGGATTGTCCTTGCTGTTATTGCCTCTTTTTGGACAAATTGATTTTCATAGAGATCCAGGATTCAATCTTTAATATATTTATACATCAATTGTATTATTCTACATTTGATGGCATTCTTCTCTGTACTTCTATCTTGAAGAATATATCTTTAAGGGCAGGTACAATAATTACAATCTGTTGACAAAAATCTGACACAAAGACAAAAGGAATTAAACATACATAAAGAATGAGTTATTGCCTTATCCACATCTGCCAGCATTCTCAGGCCCAATATCTTCAATTCTCATTCTAGAGAGCAACATTTTTTTTTTATCACACTTTAGATACAGATTTATTCTCAGCGATTTCTTTTTCACAGACTTGGTCCTGACCTCTGATTTCTCCATCCGTTGCTCCACATTCACCATGTGCCTGTCTAGTTTCCCAACTTTTGATGAGAGGTTCTCTACCTTGCCTTCCAGTGAGAAAAATGTGTCTTCCATTGCCCCTGAATTACATGAAGTGACTTCATCAGCTTAAGGGGGGATCTGCTGTGCTGCACTGTGGAGGAGCCCATCGAAGTCATGAAGATAGACAAGATGATGACATCATCTAATGCCAGGGCAGAGAAACAGATGGACTAAGGACATTGTTCTTGTTGTTCAGGGCATAACTTGCTCTAATTTGCACTTGCAGATATGTTGGACAACTTGAATGACACTGCCATCCGAATGATAGTGATGAACTATCAAAGATAGCAGCTTCTCCGTGTTCTGTCTCCCACTTTTCTCATCCACTACATTCTTTATCTTGAGTATCGTTTGTGAAAATAAGTGCACCATAAATTTCACATTCAAGTCATTCTGTAACTTGTTAGCAACCTTCAGAAGTACTGAAGAGGAGAAAACATAACTGTTCATGGTGTGTGTTTATATGTAAATTAATCCAAATTACCATATTTTTTGTTCTAAAAAAATATTAGAATGCTAGTATAGGACTTCCTTTGTACTCTACATGAGGCAAGAAGGGGGGAAGAATGTTTGCATCCATTACATTTTTCTAGCAAGAAGTAATTATAAGTGTGCATGCTTCTCACAATATTTACCTAATATTTACCTTTATAAGAATAGAAACTACACTTGCTTTTGCATACTATAGCTCTGGACTCTTCCATTTTATTCATACTTGGTATGCAGTTCATTGCAAGAGCCAATTTTCTCCATAATTGTGCCTAATTTGGGCAGAATATAACAGCAAAAAGGATGTTTAATGGCTTTATGAAATATCTATATTTGGGAGAAATAATGACTAAGATATAAATAATACTATTAAAGGAAAACATTAAAACATTCTGACTTACTAGTATGCTTAAGTGGATGTGAATTACCTATGAAACTGCCATGTTTTTGTGATTCTATTTTAATAACATACTAGACATATTTCCATTTTCATTAAAAACTTTTTAAAAAGCCCTTTGGATTAATATATGTATCATTTTTAAAGAATATTTTTAATTCAAAAGGAAAAAGAGTTTTTCTCATTTCAGGAAGAAAGTTTGTTATACAATATTTGTTATAATGACACAATCCTTTACATACCTGTTTAGAAGTAGTTAAATGTTGTGAAACTTACACCAAATTTGTAAAATACTGCAGATTAATTCATATAACCAGACTTAAAATGTGTAGATTTATAAACACTTCCTTCTTAACAATAACTAAGATAGTAACAATTTGAGCCCTGCCACAGTAAAACAATTGTTAGAAATTAAAGATGAAGCATGGTTAGAATACAGTATTGCAGGCTAATTCTGCTGACTGCCAGCAGGTCGATTCTCACAGGCTCAAGGTTGACTCAGCCTTCCATCCTTCTGAGGTCGGTAAAATGAGGACCCAGGTTGTTGGGGGCAGCATGCTGACTTTGTAAACTGCTTAGAGAAAGCTGTAAAGCACTGTGAAGCGGTATATAAGTCTAATTGGTATTGCTATTACTGGCCACAGAGTTAATTGACAGAATTTTGCTTGGATGGAGTCAGCAGCAGCATGCAAAGGATTTCATATGCCTGGAATTCTCCTAAGTAATAAATAGATTTGTCTAATAGTATTTGCAAAGGCATTTGCTTTAAAGCATATCTTTTGAATTTCCTACAGTGAGACATACTAAGCTGTGCAAATACAGTACATTAAATATGAACACTGGTATCAAAAACTATCCAACTGATCTGCATTCTGCAATGTATATTTTATTAGGTATTGGTTTGTTATATAGCCTGTACATTTATTTGATTTGTTAATGGGAAGGGAGGGAGGGAGGAAGGAAGGAAGGAAGGAGTAGTTTTAAAGTACATTAAGATTATATCTTGTTGCATATTTCTACATATGCAGAATAGTTTTCTTAATTAACTTTTTATAATTACTGTAACTCAAATTCAATTTTAAAACAAAGAATGACTTAATAACATTATTTTCAAATAGAAATTGATGATGCTGACTCAACAGATGATGATAATCAAGATTCTGCTGAATTGAATAAAAGTGATTTTGATATTTCTGTGTCATCAATGGCAGAAATTGCATCTTGCAGTTATGAAGCCAGGTAAGAGAAAATTATTTCTTATCAGTTGGAGGTTGCAGAATAGTCTTTCTCTTTAAATAGATAAAGCATATTTGTTTAGTTTGCTGTTTATTAAAGCATTTTTTAAATATTCCGACACATTTGTAGGCAGATCTGAGCTTTTGCTGTGCAAGAATCAGTGGGAATATATCACTTGTGAGCTGAAATATATACTTACCACTATATTATGCAACATAAATAATTGAATTAAAAAATGGAATGAAATAGTATCTTAACAACTTAATAAGCTTCATGTAAGATAATTATTTCATTTTCATTAATTGATGATTTTTGAACCGCTACGGAATTATTTTTTATTTAGGCAAGCTGGTATAAAGAATGGAATGTTTTTTGGACAAGCAAAACAGTTGTGCCCAAATCTTCAAGCTGTTTCCTATGACTTTCATGCATACAAAGAAGTTGCACAAACTATGTATGAAACATTGGCAAGGTAAATGTTTCATATTATACAAGTTGTTAAAATATTTATTTTAGACAAAGAATAACTACCCAAAAACTTCTATTATGGAATTCTACTGATTGTTTTGTAATGTAATTTGATAAAATATTATGTGCTATTTATTTTATTATTGTACTTATGAATTTATTAAGCATCTCTTCAGCAATATACAAATATCCCATATTTTTCTACTATTGTTTTTTTTTTCTATAGCCTCGTTCCACAAAGGCCACTCAAGCATTTCTGAATAACAGCTATTCCAAGATCAGATTACTTTTTAATCTCAACAAAATATAAATTATATTACAAATGATATTATTTTTAATCACAAATCAAATTAACATAGTTATTTTAAGCCAGCTTCGTTAAAGCCCAGCTCCATTATTCTACTTTCCAACCTGGGATTTTACTGATGTCTGATTAAATATAATCAGATGTAAATATGTGAAACTTACATAAATAAAAAATAGTTGAAACAATTATACTGCTCAGGTTCAGGTTTTATATTTCACTTATAAAAAGAAGTATGTAATATGGCTACTGCCACTTCACAGTACAGTGTCTCATATAGCTAGATGGGCAGCAAATAAATTTAATAAGTAGGTATCTATATTTTAAAATCTTTCCAGCTTATATAGTTTTAATAGATCATCTGTTTTAAAATATTTGAAAACTTGACAACTCAAAGTTGTTGTCAATAGCTAATTAATTTGAAAAACAAGATAGTCCTTGCTCTCTTGCTTCCAATACAAATAACACCAAAAAAAAAAAAAAGGAATGGAAAAGGAGGAACAAAAAACTCAGGTACTACTTGGAAAGTAGCCTGGGGAATTGAGAGAGAAAACAGTTGTTAGAAAAGAAGATAGTATTAGGCATATATTTTTCTGGTACACATTATCTTGTGTCTAAAATATCTAAAAGTATTTATTTTTTTCAAAAATGGGAAAACTATATGTTGGGGTTTGACTGTAAAATCAATATTTAATACTAGTAAATATGCGTAATTTTGAATAACTTAATTTTGTTCCTATTATTTCTCTTTAATTCTTTGACTTTGTTGATAGCTATACTCATAACATTGAAGCTGTCAGTTGTGATGAAGCACTAGTAGATACCACTGAAATTCTTGCAGATACTGGGTTGACATCAGAGGAGCTAGCAAATGTTATTCGTGCAGAAATAAAAAACAAGACCAAATGTCCTGCTTCAATTGGAATAGGTTAGTATATTGCTTAGAAATATTTATTTATAAGTAAAGTAGATTATTAAGTAAAAGCAATGTTTTATTTCCATAAAGTATATGCATTAATCACAGTATTAAAATAATTTTATGACTAGATATTAGAAATATGTCTAGTTAATTTTTCTTGTTTTCTCTTTTCTTCATTTATATAAGATAATAAATACAGTAGAAGCTAAATATATACTGCCTTAGAGGCTTTTATATATTACCAAGTGCCTTCTTTCTTAATATTTTTCACATATAAAGGGACACAGTGGAAATACTTGTAATATTTGTGGCATCTGACATTCATATATTTAGCTTAACAAGACTGTATATTGTATGTCCATGAGTAAGGTCAGTTAAAATGTACATGTGACCTTTAATCACATTCAGTTAAATACATCATACTCCAAACAACAGAGTTCCATTTCCTAATCCTTGCAAAGCATTTTGGGATCAGCCATGGAATTATCTTCACTTCTGACTCTTATACCCATGTTTCCCCAAAAGTAAGACCAGGTCTTATTATTATTTGGACCAAAAGACCCATTAGGGCTTATTTTCGGGGGATATCTTATTTTGCAGCCGCCCGCCCACTCCATCCCACCATCTGCTTGCCTGCGGCCGCAATGGCTTACAGAGCTTCCCAGGGCAGATGCTCGAGAGGCGAGGACAGTGGCAGCGGAACATGCTTTCAGGCAAGAACAGTGTGGATAGGTAAGGGAAGCCGAAGGACCAGGCAGCGTAAGCCTCCCCTGCTGCCTCCCTCCGCCTGCCACACTCTTTCCTTTTGCAAGCAGACGAAGCTTCCAGTCTCCCGTCAGTTCTCCGGGTGAAAAGTATTTAGGCACCTATGGGGCACATGGAAACGGAGCAAATCACCATAGGCATGCCCCATAGGCGTCCAAACACTTTTTGCCTAGACAGAGAAATGTCAGAGACTGGAAACTTCATCTGCTTGCAAATAATGCGCTTGGGAACGGAATGAATCGCTCTGTTTCCAAGCTCCCCTTAGGCGCCCAAACACTCCTTCTTCTGCGCAGCAATTACTGATCCACACTCTCTCACCACCCTGCATCGCCGTGGAGAGGAAGGCCAGGCTCCCCTTCACCAATGGTTCTGCAAAGCCCTTGAGGTTTTGCGTGGAGGAGTGGATCCGCTTCCCGCAGGGCCGGCCTATGGTGGCACATGCCAAGGGGGCTGGACTCTCAATACCGGTACGATGAGTTTCTTACAAAAATCATAGCTATTGTATCCTCAGCTGATCAGGAGGAAAACGTGTCTGCTCTGGATTTTAAGGCAGAAAAGCGAAGGGGGGGCAATTTCAAAGGCCCTGGAGAAAAAGAGCAAAGTTGCTGTCCAAAGCGGGTGCCGAGACGATCCACTGCTCCATGCAAAACCTTAAGAGCTTTGCAGAACCATCGGGGAAGGGGACCCTAGCCTTCCTCGTCCAGCTCCAGCTGGCATAGTTTTCCGAGAGCTCAGCATCCTTCCATACGAAGGAGGAACACAATGCCAGGAGGAGAAGCGGCAGAAAACAGGGCTGCCATTTCCAGAACGGAGAAGGGAGATGCGGGGCGATGCAGGGCAGTAAGAAAGTGTGGGCCAGCAATCGCTGTGGGAAGGAAGGAAGGAAGGAAGGAAGGCTAAATTAAAAACACCGCGAGAGGTGAAGGAAACTACTGTAAGCTGCCTTTGTTCCTTTCTCCCTTTCTCCCTTTCCTGGCTGGGAAGGAGGTAGCCCACACAGTCTCCTGCTTCGTGCCAGCGGGTGCGACCTGGTGACCGAGGCTACCTCAGGGCCACTTGAGAAGTTTTATTCCTGTTTCTTGGTTTCATCCACCACCCTGCAGCAGTTTTCCGCCTCTGCTTCTCCCTCAGGCGGCTCACTCCACCCCCACCCCCCATTACTTTTAGCATTCAGGGAAGCCCGTGCCTTTACGTGTCCTTAAGTCGCTCTTTGGGCTCTATCCTAACCTCCGGAGACCATTTGTCTGCCATAAAAACTTAGGTCAGCCCCACAGCAAAAGCCACCCCCAAGTTCTCCGTTCTCTCCAGTGCTGGCGATGGAGGACTGGCGGAGGGATACAAGGGTCACAGCGCAAGCCACCGGAGAGTTGGCGGAGAAGGAGGAGGCTGCTGGTGGGCAGGTGATCTGCAGGGTGAAGCAGGGGGGGCGAAACCAAAGAAAGCCCCTCCAGCAACAGATGTAGCTGTTGTGCAGCGGTGGTGGAGCCTTTTGCTGTCACTCCCCCCAGCTCAGAAACGGCAGAGGGGGACCGGGTAAGGCGACTGAGCCTCCCCCACCTGTCCTCCATAGCATGGCAGTCTGGCTCAGGAGAGGACTGAACAAGAAGAGGCAGGTGGGCAGCCAGGTCATTGAATGGATAGGGGGAGGTCATCGAGCGGGGAGTGGCCTAGCTACGGGGCCCTGGGGTGCATGGGGCAGCTCCACCCCACCACTTGCCTCACTTCACCTTGCGGCGGCATCGGTGCAACGTGCTCTCTCCTGTCCCATTGTGGCAGCGAGCAACCAGATGGTGGGACGGAGTGGGCGGGCTCTTAACGAGGACTTATTTTGGGGGTAGGGCTTATATTAGGTGCATATATAAAAATCAGGCTAGGGCTTATTTTTGGGATAAGTCTTATTTTGGGGAAAACACAGTACTAAGCAGAAAAGACTTAGGGAACATCATGAACAAATTAATGCTCAGTCCAGCCAACAATGAGTAAGTTATCATTTAGTCAGTGCCTTGCAGCAACTACAGCAACAAAAATATTCTTGCCATGTTCCCAACTGAAAGGAAATAAACTGTGACACCCTGCCCCACATGCTTTCAGATAAATACTCCTGTGTGTTTATCAGGCCATTTGTCTTGCAAAAAATCCAAAATGTTGATCTGAGGAGAAAGTTCCAGTTGTTATGGTTCCATTATTCCAACACTTAGGTAGGTCAAGATTAGTGCAAGTTCAATAATGAGATATTCATTTTAGTGCAAATTGTAAATGAATACCAGCTTGTGTTTAATACGACCCTAAATTCAATTAATATGAGGCTAGCTAAGATGTGGATAAATCACTCTAAACTTCCAGCATATATATGAAGATTTCAAAAAAGAGAAAACAATTCAGTCTATGCTGCTAAAATATTTTGAGAGATAATAAAAATGTTTTTATCAGTGTAAAATTGTTGGAATGATTATCAGTAGGAATGATTGTTGGAACTGAAATAACTAATTCTATATAAAATGATAATAATCATGGTGGACCTGAACTATAATTCTACTTATGCTGATGAATAAAGCTGTCTTCCTTAATCTCCATGTGGCTTATGACTGGGAATTACATTATAAAGTATCCTTCCTTTCTTCTTGTGTAATAGAGTAAAAATATTAAATCTTCCAAATGGTGAAATACTGCTTAAAAGCAATATTGAACTTTTATAGGTTCAAATATTTTACTGGCCAGACTGGCAACTCGCCAAGCAAAACCTGATGGGCAGTATCATTTAAAGCCTGAAGAAGTAGATGATTTTATCAGGAGCCAGCTAATTATACATCTTCCAGGTAGTTTTTTTCCTACTATATTCCTTCTTAGTTTTCTTCAGAAGTATTTATCACAGTTACTTTAGCTCTACTTTACAAAGTAATGGGTTATTAACAAATCAAAGGGGCTATTTTCTTTATAGTGAAGATAAAGCAACTTATATAGATAGCATTATCCAAATTTTGAATAGCATTCACCTCTCACTCGAAAGGTTGAGAGTTCAAACCTAGATAGCAGCAAATGTTTCTTTCCTAGGGCGCAAAGAAAAAATATCTGCTGCGAACTCCACATAGGCGTCAGGAAGGGCATCCAGCCAGTAAACACTCAGCTCCATCAATTGCCCTCACTTTTCCTTGAATTAAGATATTACAGAATTGTAAAAAGGGATGGTTTTTTTATTCAAACTTTGAATAGCAATCTGATAAATTGCATGGCATAAATTTTGCATCCTGAAATTATGTTAATCCTGTGTATTTTTAATAAATATTCAAAACATCAAAATAATAGTATTCTGCCAAAAGAAGTTGACAAAAATACACATTTAATTGATTATGTGCCATCAAGTCATATTTAACTTCTACCAACCACATGTATAGATTTTTCTCTGGCAATCTATCCCTAACCTTTTCTTTTAAATCACCCAAGATTGCATTCATTGCTACTTTCCTGCAGGTGGTCCTCTTTTTCCTTTTTCCTTTCTCCTTTCTCAGCATTAGATATTTTTTTGCAGTGTTGGTTCTCTGCATAACATGTCCAAAATAGGATAATTTGAGCCTGGCATATGGCCAGTTATAAAAGTGATTTAGTTAATAGTTTATTCCTATTGTGAAGTGTAACAATGATTGTTAAATGAATTAATTTCTCTGGTGTAGAGTTCTAATACAAAGATATATTTTTATTTTGGGGTTCAGGAGTTGGAAGAACAATGGAATCTAAGCTATCATCTATGGGGCTAAAAACTTGTGGAGATCTACAGTGTATCACAATGTCAAAGCTTCAGAAAGAGTTTGGACCAAAAACTGGACAAATGCTGTATAGATTCTGCCGTGGTTTGGATGATAGGCCAATTCAGAGAGAGAAAATAAGAAAATCTGTTTCAGCTGAGATCAATTATGGTATAAGATTTTCGCAGGTAAAAAAACTAAATCAAATTTAAGTGAAACAATCGTTTCCAAATGGTCCATAAGATCGCATGTTACTGGGCTGTAATTTCTTTGTTCTAATTCCTTATTAATACTAAAATGTGCTTTTATATGAATGAGTGATAACATGGATGAACTTTAGGTAATATGGCCTTCCAAATGCTATAGAATTTGCTAAGCATTCATTATAAGCTTTTTTAATTAGAACTCAGTAGAACAGTTCCTATGCATTTCTGCCCATTAGAATAGCATAGCGTAGCGTAGCATAGCAATAGGAAGAATGGAATGGAAGAGTAGAATAGAATAGAATAGAATAGAATAGAATAGAATAGAGCACACAAGGAATTTGTCTCCGCTGCATAACCTCCCAGTGTTCATACAAACAACAAAGTAATATAATCATAACAGAAGGTAATAGGAAAGATGAAAAGGATAATAGTAATATAGCCTACTACATGGGTAAATATCCTTAGACATAAGACTGTGCTATGAGAATTAGCTGTTCAGCAGAGTGATGGCATGAGGGGGAAAAACTGTCTCTAGTTTCTTTGGCATGCAATGTCTTGTAGCGGCGTCCCAAGGGGAAAAGTTGAACCAGTTTATGTCCAGGATGTGAGGGGTCTGTACATATTTCTTCAGCCTTCTTTCTGGTTCATGCAATATGCAGGTCCTTAAAGGAAGGAAGGCTAGTTGCAGGGTTTATTTCTGCAGTCCTAACTATCTATTGAAGTCTGTACTTGTCCTGTTTGGTTGCTGTAGCAAATCAGACAGTTAAAAATATTTAAACTAGTTAAAACCAGACATTAAAACCACTGAATGATCGTTGAAGGATTTACACTCAGATATGTGAATATATAGGATTGTGGCCTAATAATAGAAAGTCTTCTGAGAAAAACGGCAACAATTATTGGCCCTCTTTGTAATTTATTACCATGGAAGAATGCACTCATAGCCTATGTTCTCATGATTTATATGTTTACTCTGTAGTGTTCAAATCTTCAAGATAAAAAGCATGAAAATTAATTGCCAATACAATAATTAAACTAACTCAAGATTAGCTTTGTAAATTTATATATGACTCACAGATTATGTGGAGTAATGTCAATATATTATTTATATTTAAAATAAAAATAATTTTGTAATGTGAAGAATATGAAAACAAAACTTGATCAAATATACAGTGGCACCATTTTCCAGTAATTCAAAATGTATTATTTGTTTCCGATTCAAAAACTATTTGTAGACATTTCTACCATGCAGCGTTATTTTTTTTGGGAATGTATAGACCATGAGAGCTAGTGCTGTGTGATAAGAATATGGTAGATCCTATAAATACTTCATATCCTGTATCCGTCTCATAGTCAAAAATGTATGTCGACATTTTAATTCAAAAAAAGTAAATGCCCTGCATCCTGTTTATGTTCATTTATTTTATATAAAGATGCTGGAAGTGATATATACAAAGTATATTAAAAACTTAAAACAAGTAATGTAAATGCTAAATAATATATTTATGAGCTATGGCTAATAGCTATTATGGTTATTCAGTTCAATAGAAATCTGTAGAACAGGTTTATAAAATGTTTCGTTTCCCAAATAAATAGTTAATTTCATTTCATTGGAACATGACATGAAATTTCTCACTGTGCCAAAGCTCTGTTTTGAGTAAAAAAATGGGTTGTTTTGAACATTTTGGAACCATTCTGAGCTCAAAGTAGCATTACAGCTGTGTTTTCAAGATTGAAATGCTTTGAAATTGCTCAAAACAGTTTGCTTTGAGTTCCGAAAAGGGGTTTCATATTTAGGAGGGAACATTCTGTAAAATTTCACACTTGCATTTTTTTTTATACCTATTGTCAGTTGTTAAATGGCATTTAATGTTTATTTTGCTGGCATCCAGTAGTACAGTAATGAAGATCAGTTTTGATTTGATTACATCTTTTAACCTGTGTAAAATCCATTTCCCTATTTCAAGGCAAAAGAAGCAGAAGCTTTCCTTCTGAGTCTTTCAGAAGAGATCCAGCGAAGGTTGGAAGCAGTTGGTATGAAAGGAAGACGACTAACTCTCAAAGTCATGATCAGGAAAGCTGGAGCCCCAGTAGAACCTGCAAAATTTGGAGGGCATGGAATTTGTGACAGTGTTGCCAGGTAAATAGTTTGGTACATAAATTTGCACACTAATAATAAACACAATATCTCTGTTTTTCTCTGGCTTTGAGTCAGCTTTGCCTTTGCCTTTTTCCTAAGACAGAGAGAGAGTGATTGTCCCAAGATCATTCTGTACATTTGATATTTAAGGCATAACTAGAACTCTCAGTTTCTAGCCTAGTGCCTTTAATCATTGTACACTGGCTTTTAATTCATTAGACTTCCTTTTTTAAAAAAAAAAATTTCTTTTTAAGTCCTTTAATACCTCCTTGTAACATTGCATTTTTATATTGTGATTTTAATGCATTATAAGCTATCCTGGGAAAACTCTGTTTTCAAGGGTGGCATAAGTTTTTAAAATAAAAATTGTATAAACATTCAAATTTGTTTCTATACTCTTTCACATGTCCATACATCTTATAAAACATTACTGTTAAAATACAAATAGTTCTTGACTTACGATCACAATTGAGCCCAAACTTTTTGTTGCTAAGTGAGACAGCTATTAAGTGAGTTTTGCCCCATTTTACAACTTTCTTGCCACAGTGGTTAAGTGAATCCCTGCAGTTGTAACACGGTTGTTAAGTGAATCTGGCTTCCCCATTGACTTTGCTTGTCAGAAGGTTCCAAAAGGATCACATGACCCCAGGACAATGCAATGCTCATAAATATGAGTTAGTTGCCAAGTGCCCAAATTTTAATCATGTGACCCTGGGGATGCTGCAATAGTGGTAAGTGTGAAAAATGATTATAAGTCACTATTTTCACTGCTGTTATAACTGAATGATCACTAAATGAACTGTTGTAAGTCGAAGACTACCTGTATTGCAATAAGTATTTAAGGAAAATATTTATATTGTTTTGGTGCTATTTTTCTATTGTTAAAAATTAGTAGTAAAATATCTGTTGTTTTTAGAATGGTAAAGTAGTAGATTATGTCACACAATTTATTCATAACATTAATTGGACCTCATTATGTGTGATAACTTAACTGGGGACTTAATAAAGCTACTAGTTTGATTCTTGTCTGCCAGAATATAGGGACAAGCTAGAGAAAATACACCATTCTTATCTGACAAAATGTGCAGGGAGCAAATAAGAACAAAGGCTGAACTTAATTGCAGAAATTAAACAAGTAAGCCAATGATAGATTTTGAAATGCAATATTTGGGTGTTTTTTTAGCTCCCACCTAAATTAAAATGATAATAGCTGTATTCCCATAGAATAGCAAGCCTGTATTATCAGTAGTGGGCTAATAAACAGAGCCCATTCCCTCAATAGTAGCTTTTTCTGCTGACATAAATAATTTTTATAGGTGGTCATATTAATCTAGCAAGTTTTTTACACTTAAGGTCTTGGTTTTCCGCCTTCTTTAAAAACTAGATTCATAAACTAAAAGTTTACAGTCCTAGCTTGTAAAAGAAATAACATGACAGCATTGATCAGCAATGCTAATCATTGAAAGCAACATGTTAATCAAATCATTTTTATCATATGCATGCTCATATTAGAAAAGGATAGGAGAAAGAATCGAGTATCAGGAAATGAGTAGCTAAGTAGCTAAGTGCATTGTAATGATAGTCACTCATGGTTAAATCAAGATTTCCTAGATATTTTAAGATATTTTTTTTAAATGTCCTTTTTTAGCATTAATTAAGAGTTTATTTTGAGTTGTGGAAAAATATAACGTAATAATATACCACATAATGATCAAAATAGTACGGCACAAAATAGTGTTAAGAAATCTGGAGAGAGAAAGAGGAGAACATTCAATATATTACTTGCATAATGGTTACTTTTTCTAAGGAAAAGCAGCTTTGGGGCAGTGTTCAGCAAGTAATCAGTTATGTATGTTCAGCAAGTAATCAGTTAAGTGGTTTTCCTTGCCTGCTCCATTTTTACAAGCAAAAGAATAGATAAGGCAAATAGTGCATATACCTTAGAAAAGTCTACTAAATTTAAGTAGGGGATTTTTGGCACATGATGAAATATAGATAGCTGATAGATGAGAGAGAAATGATATAGATAGATAGATAGATAGATAGATAGATAGATAGATAGATAGATAGATAGATAGATAGATAGATAGATAGATAGATAGATAGATGATCGATAGATTACATTCTATATATATTACGATTGAAATCACTGGATCCAGCACTCATGCTTGATTTTCTCTTCTACAAAATTATCTACTGGCATTGCTTTATATATATATAAATATTGAATGTAATTCCATATGTTCATATCTAGTTTGTATAACTGATTGGAATTTGTAAAACAATTGAAATTAAGATCAGAAAAACAGTCTAGAAGCCTTTCTAGTTCTTTTTTCTATATTGGCAACATAGTTTTCTACCACAATCATGGAAACAAAATATGACAGCAATAGTACTTGGCAATTTTGGAAATAATGAGTATATTCAAATATGTGCTTCTTCTGATCCTAGTGATGACATGTACTCAATCTAATCAGTAGCCATTGTAATGTATGTATTTGTAGGACTGTGACTCTCAACCATGCAACAGATAATGCCAGAGTGATTGGGAAAGAAATAATAAATATGTTTCACACAATGAAGTTGAATATTTCTGATATGAGAGGGGTAAGTTTTTAAATCACTGCAATTTCAGCACACATGCTTGACTTTTCTCTTCTACAAAATTATTTACTGGTATTGCTTTATTGTTCTAAATATGAGTGGATATGTGATAAATATTTTATTTCTTCCAATGTGATAAATCCTATTACACGTGAAATATTGCAGTTTTACATTTGGACTAACTAGCCAGTCATTATTTAAAATGGTAAACACCAATCTGAGAAATAAGAATATGAAAAGGAGCATTGGCTAGAGTTAGGAAACTTTGGAAACTCTTGGATTAAACAGATTGTAAGATCTTTAATCACTCTTAGTTAATCAGCTAACTGGTTCAAGTATGTTTCATCCAATAATTATAGATTCTTATTACTGAACAAATCTTGTACATTTAATTTCACTATGACCTCTCCTTTTATTATTCTCATAAACATCCATACAGCGGGCTTTTTTTTCACTCAGTGGGGTATGTCCATGCGTGTGTGTTTGAAAGGTATAGATTTATGAAAAGGTATTCCAAAAATAATTTATTAATGTTAAATATCTTTAGAAGACAATAGTTTTTGCTGCAGCAGACTATAAAAGAAGCTATCCCCCAAAATTTACCCAGGTATCTTGTTTCCTAGGTTGGAATTCAAGTGCATCAGCTAGTTCCAGTTAATAAAACAATTTCCATGTCTTCCTCTAACACTTCATTACCTTCTGGGTTCTTGCCTGGCGGAGCTGATTCAATTATTGATTTTTTGCAAGTTCCAAAAGTTGTGAAGAAGTCCAAGAATAAAGAAGAAGAACGCAAGGAAGGTTGGAAAATAAATAACATTTTGCTTGTGGGTTTTTTTAAAGATAGCTTTTAAAATAAATTGTTATTCTTAGAAAACAGAGTTCCTTCTTAAAAAGTATGTTACATTAATAGTTTTACCTTTTGCTGGTAAAGTTAGTTGAGTTACTATACATGTGTGGTTTTAGCTTGGTATTCTGCAGTGATTGAAAATGTTGCCTTTTCTTTTCATTGATAGTGTTTTTGGCTGCTGTGGATGTTGAAATATCTTCTACATCAAAAGCATGCACAGAGTTACCATCACAAGCAACTGAACTCCATCACATTACCAGCAAATCTGAGCCTAATACCAGTTTGAATGGCTTATATCCACCAATCAGTATAAAATCTAGGCTTAATTTAAGTATTGAAGTGCCATCAGCTTCCCAGGTAAAAATTCGTTTTATGTGGATAATATAAAAATAATTTTATGCCCCTTTCTTAATAAAGGATGCATAAGATGAATAGTTTGTGGCCGTTTATACTTAATGCTTCTTAGTACTCCAGTGCATGTGTTTTTCCTGGGTTTGGTTTGAAAAATAATTGGTTTAATTGAATGGGAGAGAAAATGGTCTGAACTCCCTGGATGTCATGGCGGCATCTGAGCTACCCAAGCTTCATGAGCCTGACATTAGCACTTGGGGGGGAGGGAGATTGGAAGGTAAGTATGGGGGAGGGATGGCAGCCCGGCTGAGCCTTGTGAAAAGCCAGCCAAGGTCAACTAACGATATGCAGAGCTGGGAACTGAGCACCTGATTGGATATTTGCAGATGGGGGGCAGGGAGAGGGAACTTTACTTTTGTGTTGTTTTCATGGGAAAACCTCAGATTCAGCTTATGCTATTTCTGTATCCATTTCAACTTCAGTAAAGTATGCTCTTGGCAAAACAAATGGCCAAGAATTTTTCTTTGCTAGATAACTGTGTGGGACCGTTGACATTGGACAATAAGGAAAGAGCATTGCCACTCTCTTCCATCTGTTAGTCTATTGACTGAATTATTTCAGTTTTAGGCCATTTCTCTTTATATTTCAATTACTTATGAAAGACTTCAGGATTTATTTTCTTGTAATATATTTTATTGATTTTTTAAAAAACATAAATCACTTAATTGGTGAACAGTGTGTTGTCTGGGTTTACATTTATAAAGCAAT